ATTTCTAGGGTCTCTAATCTGTTTCATTGGACCACACGTCTATTCTTGTGGCAATATCAGGCTGTGACTAAAACTGCCCCGTAATATGTCCTGAAATTTGGTATTGTGATGGCTCTACCTTTATTTTTGTTAAAATTGCTTTAGATGTTAAGATTCTCTTGTGATTCCATATGAATTTTAGGGTCTTTTTTTTTTTCTAAATCTGAGAATGTCTTTGGTATTTTGACTGGGATAACCTTGACTCTATAAATTGCTTTGGGTAGTATGGACACCTTGATTATATTAATTCTTCCAATTCATGAACATGGATTCTTTTTCCATTTTTTGACTTCAATTTCTTTCTTTAATAATTCATAGTTTTTATTATAAAAACCTTTCATGAAAATCCTTGGCCAAATTTATCCCAAGATACTTAAATTATTTTGTGACTTATTAATGGGACTGAGCTTACAAATTCCTTCTCTGCCATGACCTTGTTTGTGTATACAAATGCCATTGACTTTTGTGTGCTGATTTTATGCACCACAACTTTGCCAATAATTAAAAAATCCAATAATTTCTTAGTGAGACATTTAAATGGGAAGGGATTTTTAAATTAGATCCCCAAAGTACAGGAAACAGAAATCAGAATATACAAATGGGATCTTGTCAAATTAAAGAAACAAGCAAAGGAAACAACAGAGGGAAGAGACAGCCTGCAGAATGGGAAGAGATATTGTGAACTATACATCTGACAAGTGATTGTCAACCAAAATATACAAAGAATTCACACATCTCAGTACCAAAATAATAACAATAGCAATCTAATTAAAAAGTGGGCAGTATATCCAAATAGACATTTCTTAAGGGAAAACATACAAATGCTCTACTAGTTTTTGAAAAAATACTCAACATTGCTAATGATCAGAGAAATGCAAATCAAAACTACAAGGAGATATCATCTCACTTTAGTTTAATTAGCTATTATCAAAAACACAAATGATAACAAGTATTGGTGAGGGAAGCCAGTGTCATGGCACAGCATGCTAAGCCTCCACCTGCAGCACAGGCATTCCATGTGGGAGCCAGTTCGGATCCAGGCTGCTCCATGTCTAGTCCAGCTTCCTGCTTGGGGAGGCAGCGGAAGAAGGTCCAAGTCCTCGGGCCCATACACCCACATGGGAGACTTGTAAGAAGCTACTGACTACATACAGGTTCGTCTCTGGCCATTTAGGGATTCAACCAACAGATTGAAAGATATCTCTTTCTGGGTATCTCTCCCTATCTATAACTCTTTCAAATGAAAATACATCTTAAAAAAAAAAAGAGTATTGGTGAGGAAGTGGAAAGAAGGAAACCACGATACACTATTGGTGGTAATGTAGATTAGTTCCCATCATGAGGGAACAGTATGGAGGTATCCCAAAATACTAAAACTAGAGCTATCAGATGATCCAGCAATCCCATTCCTGGATACTTATCCAAGGGAAATGACATCAGTCCATGGAAGAGACATCTTACTGCCATGTGTATTGCAGCACTATTTCCAACAGCCAGAAAATGGAAACAACCTGAGTGTCTGTCCACTGATCAAAATGTGATTCTCATACACTCATCCATGACAAAGAATCTTGTCATTCTCAATGGCATGAATGGAACCAGCAAGCATTGTGTTACACACAATAAGCTAAGCTCAGAAAGAGATACTTCTCTTTCACATTTTTGCTCACGTGTAGAGTATTTTTCAAAAAGGTGATCTCATAGAATTGAAAAGTGTAATGGCAGTTACCAGGAGCCTGGGAGGGAAGGGCATTTAGAGAAAGGGCAAATGTTGATTAATGCATACTGTTACAGTTAAATAGGAATAATAAGTTCTGAGATTATATTACATAGTAGGGTGATTAAATAAATTACTTCTCCATTAAAAAAAAAAAAACATAGTGACAAGCCAGGCTTGGCTGTAGCACACATCAGCATACATGTGGGCTGGGTTTGGGAGCAGGCCAGGTGAGACCAGCCCAACAGCACACACTGGCATAAGCAGGAGCCAGGATGGGGTGCAGGCCAAGCTGGGGTGGACTGCAACACCCACAAGTTCACATGAGGACTAGATCTGGGTGTAGGTCAGACTGCGCTTGGCTGTTGTACCTGCCAGCAAGAGCTAGGACTGCAGGGGGCTGGGCTGAACCAGGCTGCAGCACCTGTTGGCAAATACTGAGACTAGGGGCAGGCCATCTCCTACTGGGCCGAGGGCAGGCCTGGTGGGGGAATCTCAGGGAGTGCCCTACTGGGTCATTGCTTTTACTGGTGAGCATGAGAGCTAGAACTGGGGGCAGGCCAGTTAGAGCAGGAATGCAGCATCCATTAGCTGGCATTTGAGCTGGGTCTGGAGATGGGACAGGCAGGGTTAGGCTGCCATACCTGCTGGCCCAAATGAGTTAAAATAGGTGTGGGCGCCCTGGGCTAGGCTGCAGCACTACTGGCAAGTGCGTGGACTGGGTACAAGTCATGTTAGGGTGGATCACAAGTAGGTTCAAGATCCAGGGCTGGCAGCAGGCCTTGTAGAAGAACTATAGGCACTCTTCTGCTGGGCTGCAGCCCCTACTGGTGAGGAGATCCAGGACTGAGGATAAACCAGGCTGGGCAAGAGAGCAGTACCCATGGCGTGCATGTGGACTCAGTCTGGGGGTGGGTCAGGCTGAGATAAGCCTTTGCACCTATGGGTATGCACGAGAGCCAGGTGGGATACAAGACAGTGTCTATGGATACACACTGAGGTTGATCTTGACCTTGGACAGACTTCTCTCAACCCTGGTACAACAAGGCCAGTGATGCCTCAGCAGTATCAGTCTACTCAAGTAACATCCTTGGAACACTCTTCACCACATTGGAGTCTCTAAAGTGTCATCAAATAACCTCCCCCAGCCAAGGGTGCTGATGTAATTTGACAGCAAGGAATAGTTCTCCCTTCCCCACCAAAGAAAGCAGCAGAATAAAAAGAACTTAATTAGTCCTGCCCATCTTCCTTCATTCCTCAACTCTCTCCGCCCTAATTGGAGGCTCACATGGGAGTCTATCCCTCTCAACTAGGTACACAATATTAAATACAAAATTTAAAAAATTTATTTTAATCTAGGGACAGGTTCAAGGGTTAATTTGCCGGCATCCCATACTCAAATGCCTGGTTTGAATCCTGGCTACTCCACCTCTCACCCTGGTTCCTGTGAATGTATCCTGGAATGTAGTTAGTGATGACTCAAGTGCTTGGGCAATTGCCACTGAAGTGGGAAACCCAGAGGAGTTCCTTTGAGCTTCTGCCTTTGATCTGGCCAGTCCTGGCTGTTAAGTACATAGAGGAATGAACCAAGTGATGGAAGATCTTTCTTTCACATGTGCCCTTCAAATAAATAAAAATAGCTAATCTTAAAAATGAAAAAGATTTTGGGCCCTGCACAATAGCCTAGTGGCTAAAGTCCTCGCCGTACACATGCTGGGATCCCATATAGATACCAGTTTGTGTCCTGGCGGCCCCACTACCCATCCAGAAAGCACTAGAGGATGGCCCAAAGCCTTGGAACCCTGCACCCACGTGGGAGATCAGGAGGCTCCTGGCTCCTGATTGGTGCAGCTCTGGCCATTTAAGGCCACGTGGGGAGTGATTCAGTGAACAGATCTTCCTCTCTTTCTCTCCTTCTCTGTATATCTGAGTTTCCAATAAAAAATGTTTTAAAAAATGAAGATTTAAAGTATAAATAATAAAAAAATAAGAAAAAAATAAAGTATAAAGGAAGAGCTTGAAAAAATAACTTTAAAGTTATCTTTTAAAAGCTCAAGAGGAAAAAACTTATAGGGGCTTCAAATAAATGTACCCACAGAAAATATTGCATTTACACTTGATCTAAAGCAGTATTTGTCACCTAAGTATTCTTTATACGAACATCGCATTTGAGATACAATTCTGTAGAGTCCTAAATATTGCCAGTAACTCGAAAATGACTTTTATGGAAGCACTAGCGTCAAACAGCCATATGCAGTGCTAACATCCATTGGGGGCTGGTAGGAAAAAGGCCAACAGCATTGATTCCTGGGATTATCCAACACATACTGTAGGCGAAGACTGCTTCCAGAAGCCACTCACAAAGGACCACATTGCATTTAGGAGACAGAAAGTTGACTGGTAGCTGCCTGGGGTAGAGAGGGCTTCTGTGAGGTTTCCTTCATGTGTGAAAGACTAAATGGTTGAATTTTATGATCAGTAAACTACATCTCAAAGCTGTAAAGACAAAATAATTCGTTACTAGCTGTTTGGCTTTAGAAAATAAAATCAAAGATTGCAAATGTAAGCTTCACTACATTAAATGGGTGAAAAGCTATTAATAGACTCATTAATTCTGTTATTTGTAAGTCTTCCAAGCAGGCCAAATTGTTTTTTTTTTTTTAAGATTTGTAATTGAAAGGCAGTTTTTACATAGAGAGGAGAGACAGAAATATTTCCCATTCACTGGTTCACTTCTCAAATGGCCAAATGGCCACAATGGCCGGAGCTGAACCAACCTGCCTCCAGAAACCAGGAGCTTTTTGATCCAATAGTAAGGTGCATTTTTTCACTTTTTTTTTTTTTAATTGGGAAGTGAGATATACAGAGAGGAGGAGAGACAGAGAGGAAGCTCTTCCATCTGATGGGTCACTCCCCAAATGACTGCAACGACTGGAGCTGAGCCGGTTCATAGCCAGGATCCAGGAGCTTCTGGGTCTCCCATGTGGGTGCAAGGTCCCACAGCCTTGGGCTGTCCTTCTCTGCTTTCCCAGGCCACAAGCAGGGAGCTGGATGGGAAACAGGGCTGCCAGGAATAGAACCGGCGACCATTGGGATCCTGGGCATGCAAGGTGAGGACTTTAACCACTACGCTATCACATCAGGCCCAGTAAAGTGCAAAGTAATCTTTGGTCTCTAATCAACAGAATAACAGTCTTAGGAATGATATTTAAATTGTATTTAATTAAATAGAAATCACACACACTTCCGTGTTCTTAAATATATTTACTTCATATTCATGAATGAAATAGAAGCTGTCACCACTCCATTCTTCATTCCAAGTGTTTGGACAAGTTTAAGCAAAGAGCAATGACTAAGAAGTCCTAACCACAAAGCTGTAACACTTCGAAAATGTTTCAAGCTAACTCCATGTGGCAGTTCAATATGAGCTGCCAGACTGAGTGCAATTAGTCCTTCAAGTGCAGATAACACGGGTTCCTTGGGATCCGGGATGCCCAGCAGCTCCTCCCACTGGTTTCCCATCAGTTGGCGTGGGCAAGTCTGCTGTCAGCACCATGGAAGTTTAACATTGTAGTCACCAGCTCCGGGAGGTCGAAATCGTGCTTCCAGCCCCAGTCCTTCCGCGCATTGCTATCGTCGAAGTTCATTGGCCAACTATCCGCTAGGACAAGAAATGCAAGAGCAACTCAAGTTAGCTGAGCTCCAATTGGCCAAAAAGGTCTACAGCATTTTCTAGAAGGTCTATCATATACAAAATAGGACGTTTTGTCTAAGTCTTGCAGGAACAGCTAGGTACGCACACACAGTCACCTGCTCCAGACGGTTTATTCCGCACCTCTACCTTCAGGCACTGTGAATTTTACATATTAAAATACCATAATTTTGTAAGGACAGAATCTTACACTCAAAACCAGGCTCTGGGCTACCAAGTGGCACCAGTATGGTATCTAAAAACCTCCGGATACTCTATCAACTTGTCTCCACTGCTCCTGGCCTTCTGGGTAAACTATCCGAGCAGTGAGATGCTGGCAGGCTGTTTGCCTGGAATGGAATGGCATCCATTCCCCAAATCAAAGCACGTGCTGGTTCTGACGCAACACTGGCTTCTCCCAGGACCCTTGGAAGTAAGCTGTGCTCTCGTCATCCCTTCCAAGGTATGTGCCCTCCTGACCTCACAGTGCTGGCAGAAGCTGCATTTTTGCTTTGAAAATGCTGGCCGGGATGTGCACTGACCTATGGCCTGGCGAACTGGATCCACGTTGTAGGTGATCTGGAATTCTGGCACATGCTTGAGGAGCTCCTGGGCCAGCTCCTCTGGGGTGAAGCTCATGGCATTGACGTTGTAGGTCCTCATGGAAAGCGACTCTGCGGGCGCCTCCATGACCTCCAGCGTGGCCCGCAGGCAGTCATCAATATACATCATGGGCAGCCGTGTGCTGGCTTTCAGGTTGCACTCGAACTTGCCGTTCTTGGTGGCATCATGGAAAATCTGCACAGCATAGTCTGGAAAAGAACCCTGGTGTCTGTGGGCTTTCCTAGAGTGGTGAGTGAGCCTTTCAGGTGGAGCCAATGGTTCCCATGTGTGTTCAACTCAAAACCTCTTTAGACTCCTATACATGGAAGTTTCTTAAGCCAAAGTGACTATGGTGTTTGTAGTAATACTGTGTTACATAGTGGTCACTGAGCATCATTTTGAAATATTTATTTTTTTTCAGATTTATTTTGTTGCTTTGAAAGGCAGTTATAAAGACAGGGGATAAGGATAGATATCTTCCATACACTGATTCACTCCCCAAAGGGTCTCAATGGCTCTGAATTGAGCTGATCCAAAACCAAGAGCCAGGAACTTCCTCTGGGTCTCCCACATGAGCGCAGGGGCTCAAGCACTTGAGCCATGCTTTGCTGCTTTCCCAGGCACATTAGCAGGAAGCTGGATCGAAAGCAGAGCAGCCTGGTCTTGAACCAGCACTCATATAGGATGATAGTACTGTAGACAGCAGCTTAACCCGCTAAGCCACAGCACTGCCTTTGAAATACTACATTTTAAAAGAACAGTAAACCTCTGTATTGCATATTAATATATATGATGTCTTATGTGGGAAGGAATCTGTTTCCCAAACAAAAAAACTTTTTACTGAGAAGGGCTGATTTTGCATTTTGAGACACTCTAGCGCCTGGCTGAATAGAAGACAGCTGGAGCCTCCCGTCTGCGCTCAGCCCCTCGTAAATGCAGGAGGGAACAGGCAAACAGCAGCTCAATACTGACATGAAAATGGTTTTAACCTCCGGGACCCCTTGCAAGGGTCTTCAGGATGCCCAGGCGTCCCCAGGCCACGTTTGAGGAAGCATCTTATTAAGGCCAGAGCTTTTAGAAAGGAAAAGCCAAAGCCCTCTCCAAAACATCCTCAGATCTTATTGAACATCTTGTGTCTCAGGATTTCTGAGAGGAGAAAAATCCTTAATGTGGGACTTACTGAATGTAATGCATGTTGAAGCCCCAAATCGTAAGTTGGGTTCCATTTAAATATGTAATGAGCACTTGTGGAGTGCGCCTTAAGTCACCTCTTCCTCCTGTTAAGAAGCAAAGCCTCGGGGTGGACGTTAGGCCTGGTGGTTAAGCCACTGGCTGAGACCCTACACCTTCCAGCTCTGCTCCTGGTTCTAGCTTCCACTGAATGCAGGCCCTGGCAGGAGACAGGTGATGCACCAAGCACTTCGGTCTCTGCCACTCACAGGGAGACCCAGACTGAGATCCTGCGTCCCTGGTTTGGCCCAGCCCAGTCCTGGCCATCGTGGGCGATAAGCCAGGAGATGAGGGATCTGTCTCTTTCTCTCCCTTCCTTTCCAATTAAAAACCAAAGGTTACCAAAAGGATATTCTAAGAACATATTGCTGCTGCTTAGGGGAGGCGAGAGACCCTTCTGTCCCAGGAGTAAAGGATTTGCTGGGCAACCTTGTGTCTTATTCCAGCACTGACAAAGGGCTGATGAGTGCTGCCCGTGATTGTTTGTCAACAGGGTTCAGAGTGTTTTTCAGATACACATATGGAGGGCGTGTAGGACTCCACTGGCAGCTTCACTCCCCGCAGAGACTTCTGTTAGCAGTAAGAATGCACAAAAGAATCAGAAAAGCTACACTTACCAGTTGTGCCCCCTCCAGGTTGGGAATCTGCCGAAATGATGCCAGGATACCTCAGGCACCGGAAATCTAACCCGTACCGGTAATAATAGTACTGTGAAGAGAGAACATACTCGAGAAAAAGATTGTCAATTAGAGCACTATGACAAAAAAATCATTTTCTGAAACATGACTTTATATTAAAAACAACAAAAGAGGAGAGTTTAGAAGCTTTTAGAGTCATTCCCTTTAAAGATTTATTTTTATTATTTTTTCATTGGAAAGGCAGATATACAGAGAGGAAAGACAGAGAGGAAGATCTTCCATCCGATGGTTCACTCCCCAAGTGAGCGCAACGGGCCGATGCTATGCCGATCCGAAGCCAGGAGCCTCTTCCGGGTCTCCCACGCGGGTGCAGGTTCCCAAAGCTTTGGGCCGTCCTCGACTGCTTTCCCAGGCCACAGGCAGGGAGCTGGAAGGGAAGCGGGGCTGCTGGGATTAGAACCGGCGCCCATATGGGATCCCGGGCGTGCAAGGCGAGGACCTTTAACCACTTGCGCCACCGCGCCGGGCCCGAGTCATTCCCTTTAATAAACAACTTTTTAAAAGTGTTTGAACTTTGGAGAGCCACCATGTTTGTGACACAGCAGCACTGCAGTCTATTGGGCTACTATAGGAGTTTCCAAACTTGGGAGAAAGCAGTTACTGCTGGCTGCCTGCAACAGTTCTGGGTGAGCGTGGTGCTGGGATGCAGGCTTGGAAGGGGAAGGGTGAAGGCAGCAGGTGAAAGGGCAACATGAAGAATGAGACACCAATGACACTTTACCACAGCTATACAAAGAATAGTAAGAATATAAAACCACAAAAGGCATTCATGTGTTTCCATAACTGCCAATACCAGCAGCCTTTAAAAAACAAACAAAAAAATACAGGGGCCAGCATGGTGGCATAGTAAAAAAAGCTAAGATGCCAACAATTCATAAGATTCAAGACCTGGCCGCTCTACTTCTAATCCAGCTCCCTGCCTGGGAAAGCAGAGGATGCCCAACTGTTTGGGTTTCTGTACCCACGTGGGAGACAGAGGGAAGACCCTGGGCTCCTTTCTTCAGTCTGTCTCAATCCCAGCTGTTACAGTCATTTGGGGAATGAACCAGCAAATGAAAGACCTCTCATACTCTTTCAAATAAAGAAATAAATCTTTTTTTAAAAATGGTATGGCAGAAGGCAGGTTGCCAACGAAGCAAGGGAGCCATTTAGAGAGAGCAGGGGCAGCTGAGAATAGCTGTGAAAAGTGCCCCCGTCACCAAGTTCTTCAGGAGCCACAGGTGCCTGGCCAATAGCAAACACAGTGAACTATGCAAAGTATCTCTGGAGAGGGATCCATCAGCGCTTGAGGTACAAAAATGGAAGAGAAACACAGTCTTCCTGCCCAGGGTACATGCAGCAACCTTGTGGTGCTCACCTCTCCCATGAGCTCAGCGTGGACCTTGGACACCCCATAGATGGTCCTGGGTCTCTGAATACAGAGGTCAGGGGTTGGGTTCCGGGGAGAGGTGGGGCCGAAAGCCCCGATCGTGCTAGGGATGAACAGTCGCAGCTTGTGTTCTGCCGCAACATCCAGAATGTTGTGCAATCCTGAAATAGACAGACATAATCATAATCTGTTTAAAAAGATCTTGTCAAAGAACTGGAAAAACTGGAGAACAGATCGCCTTGGGCTGGAACCACACACTCACCAGTGATATTCACGTCTTTTGCCAAGGACACGTTTGCTTCCCCTACAGCGCTGAGCAAGGCGCTATAATGGAAGAGCCAAGTGATGCGGTTGTTGACCACAATCTCGCGAAGGTTCTTGTAATCCAAAATATCGGAGTAAATACATGGGCCTGTTGAGGGGCACAGACAGAGTGGAACCACAGATGTGAAGAAGTTTGGGGACTGAATAGCTAGAAGAACACTTCTCCCCCTTCCCAACTGACTTGTGCGGTTCCTTGATATCTATTTGTTAATTATTCCATCTGGACACCATGCAGCATTTTTCTACTTGAAGGGCTAACAGACAGCAATGCCCTATGAGTACTAACGCCTCCATGAGCCTGCAACTGTCCCACAGGCTCTGCCCCTATTTCATGGCCACACAGCCATGGATACAGGTTCCGGATGAGGACACCGAGGCACAGACCGGTTGAGCCACTGCCTGGATCAGGCTGGAAGTGGAAACACTGGTTTCACAGGTTTCTGCCTCTGAAGATGGTGCTGTTAACATTAACCCTACAGATATAGAGTCATCTCACTGGGCCTGAAGATAGCATATCTTAAAAAGAAATAGGGAAATGCGTTTATTTATAAACTTCTCTATGGAGGAACCACATATCATGAGCTCATTCTTTTGCTAGATGTGGAGCCAACAGCACGTTGCTGCTCCACTGACAGTGAGCCACAAAGGCCAGGAACTGACCCAGGATGGTAACCTCTCAAAAAGGATCAAAGCTTTTGTTCCAAGGATATTAATCCAAATATTAGAAGGTACCATCACCAAACTTCACTTCAAGCTTAAAAGAATTTCCAGGGCCCGGCGCGGTGGCGCAAGTGGTTAAAGGTCCTCGCCTTGCACGCACGGGATCCCATATGGGCGCCGGTTCTAATCCCGGCAGCCCCGCCTCGACTGCTTCCAGCTCCCTGCCTGTGGCCTGGGAAAGCAGTCCAGGACGACCCAAAGCTTTGGGAACCTGCACCCGCGTGGGAGACCCGGAAGAGGCGCCTGGCTTCGGATCGGCATAGCATCGACCGTTGCGCTCACTTGGGGAGTGAATCATCGGACGGAAGATCTTCCTCTCTGTCTCTCCTCTCTCTGTATATCCGCCTTTCCAATGAAAAAATAATAAAAATAAATCTTTAAAAAAAAAAAAAAGAATTTCCAGTGTTTTAAAAATTTTTTTAACAGTTTTTAATATTGTTTATGTAATTGAGAGGGATGCATACCCATGTGGGCCTCTGATTAGGGAGGGGAAGGTGGAGGTATAAAGGAAGTTGGGTGAGAAAAATGTTCCAACTTTTTTCCCTCCTGTGTCCACTGTGGGGGCTGGGGAGGAGGCCACTCCTTGCTGTCAAACTCCTCTGTGCTTGTAACCACTGAACAAGCAGCAACATGAAAAACATGCAAAATATTTTTTAAGATACACTGTAGGTTAGAGAAAACAAAAACATTTAACAAGTTAAAATACGTTTAAGGGATGTAACTGCCTTGATTTCTTTCTGTGCTTCACTGAGAGTTATACGCTACTACATTCTGTGAGTTCCCTAATTAACTGTATTTAAGATTCAAAGTAAGAACAAGGGCCCTCAGTCTCTTACCGCTATGGAAGACATGATCAGGGGGTTTCCTTATGTCAGACAGAATCACGTTGTCCTTCCCAAATCGTTTCCTGGGGGGGATAAACAAAACACCCAGTTAGCAATGTCTAGGATACCACAGGTTCGACAAAATCCCATCTTTTAAACAGAGCTGTTAATTTCTTGACATCTACAAATCTCTTCTCATCCTTGACAGACATCTTTAGCTCCTGCCTCTCTCATGTCCAGGCTTCTCTTTCACTGCCCATCTCCCTGTCTTCCCTTTCTTCCTTTTCAAAAATTTTACTTACTTTTCTCTATTTGAATGGCAGAGAGAGAGAGAGATCTTTAGTCACTGGTTTACTTTCCAAGTGCGTACATCCGCCAGGAACCTAGAACTCAAGTCACCCTCAAGGGTGGCAGGGCCCTAGCCATTACCCACAGTCTCCCAGAGTTCACATTAGCAGGAACCCAGAATTGGAAATGGAGTTGAGACTAAAAAATAGGAATTCCTCTACAGGGTGCAGGTACCCCATCTGGCAACTGACCCAAAAGCCCACCCAGTCCATCTTCTCTTTCTATTTGAGTCCATGATCAACTTTAGGCTTGCCACCAGTTTCCTCTAGTACACCAGGAGTTTTTAGTGCTCTCCAAATCTCACATTGTCCTTCTATGCCTGCTTCCTTCTCCCCCCAAAACAATGAAGAACCAAGTGATTCATTTGGAGTTGTGTCTCACTTTTCCAAAGTCGGAAAGAGAGCAAAAGACTGCAGAGCAAAGAGCCTGCAGCCAGTGTGTGATGTTCAGAGGGAAACAGCCCAATAGAAACAATGATTTAGGTATCTTTAGAGAAGTTAAGGGCCAAAGCGAGAACAGATGACTAAATGGTACCAAAGACAAGCTTGACAAACTCATAAATAAGATTTTACATTTCTGGTTTTAGGGCTCTTACCTCAAAAGTTTAGCAAGCCCCACTCCTAGCTGGCCAAGACCTCCTAGAAGAAAAACAGTGAAAGTTTAACCCACATGTAACAAGTTCAATTATTCCCAGAATGAATAACTTGAATAAGACTATTTTTAATATCAGCTAACTGGAAGTCCTAGATGGAGCTGAATAATTGCTGTTTCATTCACTTCTCAGCAATACTCCAAACCAGGACACAGTTCAACACAGGCCAAACTGGCTCCAGAGATGAAGCTGTCTCCAGCTTGGAGCAGCTTAGGGGACAAGGGGACGCCAGGACATGAGAGAGCTGGGCAGGAATTCACACACGGCTTCCATTATTCTGATGGACTCTGACTCTTGTCTGCCACCAGCGTTCCAAACACCTCAAAACCCAACCCCAGTGGTTCAATATAACCTCTGGAGGAATTCTCCAGAATCCCAAACTCCAAAAGAATGACACTGAGGTATGAAAGGCAAAAGGGGAGGCGACAAAGCAAGAAGTCATTTGAAAAAAGTGCAGATAACTGAATCGACAAGGAGCCATTAGGAGAGTTAAAATAAAAATGCTACCGAGAGAAACAGAGGTGGCAAAATGGTCTAAGCAGGGAGAAAACCAGAGGGAAATCCACTGAGCTTGAGACCTGCTTGCAGCAGGAGGAGAGCAGACAACACACATACAGACTGCGAGGGGATAGAGGATGACAGTGATGAAAATCCGAGGGAGCAATCACACCACAGTGGGCTTGGGCTCACTGCAAGTGCCACACATGTGATGGGGCACAGGGTAGAATGAAGAGGGCACAGAATCAGGCACTGGGGAGCCCTGTGATGAGAAGGATTCATCCAAAGATGATGGATGATAAGCTCAGCAAGGTGCTAACAACTTCCCATCTCGAATTCCCAACACACAAGAGTGCAGTTAACAGTTTGGGATGTACCATATGGAGTTTGGGTGAGGGACCAGGTGAAGGAAGGTATGTGACTCCAGAATCAATGCTCTGGTCTATGCACCTGTCCCATCTGTTAACCTTTGTTTCCTATGCCAGTCCTTACAAGGGAGGGAACAAGTCCACAATAACAACAACACAAATCAGGGAAACCAAGAGCTGGTGATGGCGATGCAGAAAGGATCAAGAGATTCTCAATGCAGAAAGGATCAAAAGATTTTCAATCTCTGAAATGCAGAGATCTTCAATAGGGCTAGAGAAAATCTGTTTTATGTTCCACCTGCTACAGCGAATGAGCAGTATGAGGGAGGTTATGGTTGGAATAACAAACATTCCCAACATCTAGTCGCTCAGAAGCAACACAGACAAGAATCAAGCCACAAATACACAAACAAGAGGAGGATTGAGAGACTAACCTGTAATTAAGACTCGTGGGTGGTCCGTTTGAGAGAAAGACACCGAGTGGAAGTTGGCATCAACTGGGATCTGCCGAGGGGAAATGGCCAGGAACCGGACAGACCCAGTCAGAGGCCAGCAGCCACAGCGTGTGCTCTGCACTGTCTGACCCACCACCTGTCGCAGCATCCTGATGACTGGCATTTGTCTCCCAGGCCCTGCTGGGAGAAAAGCAGCAGAGTTAACTTCATAACTCTTTATGGCTCCAGTTGCTGAACCTCACTGAGATGGGCAGCAAGATGGCTGTGTCTTAGAATTCCAGAAGTGAATTACAGAGAGCGCTGAGCGTCGCTTCTCAGCTTTTTGGCTTAGGTCAAGTGCAGAGCCTGCTGAGCCTGCTGCTAGGAGGCCATCATGTGCCTATTGTGATCGAGGGACCTGGTTAAAGGGATGACGTAAAAATGCCCCTGCAGTGGCCCAGCGTGGTAGCCTAGTGGCTAAAGTCCTTGCCTTGAATGCACTGGGATCTCATATGGGCATTGGTTCTAATCCTGGCAGCTCCATTTCCCATCTAGTTCCCTGCTTGTGGCCTGGGAAAGCAGTTGAGGACAGCCCAAAGCCTTGGGACTCTGCACCCGTGCGGGAGACCCGGAAGAATCTCCGGGCATCAGATTAGCACAGCTCCAGCCATTGCAGCCACTTGGGGAGTGAATCAGTGGACAGATCTTCCTCTCTCTCGCCTCCTCTTTGTATATCTGACTTTCCAATAAAATAATAATAATAATAATAATTTTTTAAAAAATGACCCTGCAGGATGCTGGAACTAAGTGAGATGTGAAACAGCACAGGAGTTCAGTATGCTGAGAGTTGGAACAGCAGTCAGTGGAGGCATAGTTGAGGGTTTAAACCTCGGCTACTACTGTCATGAGTTACCCAGACTGAGTTAGAGGGTCCTTGAGAACCCTGCGCTAATACTCACACGTTATGTCTGGAATGAACAGAACCAGAAAGGAAGATGGGTACAAAGCACAAGTCCTTTGTCTTCCTGCTTTCTTTTTAGAACAGATCTTTTAGAAAAGCCCTTCTCATGTTGCATCCTGAGGACCTGAGTCCTGCCTTCAGGGCTAAGGCTCGAGCACATCTGGCTAGAGACCTCCACTTCCCCCACTATCCCCAGCAACTAGGCAAGCATGCCACACAAGTAAAGCAGAGCCACCCAGATGGCTGTGCTGGTTCTGACAGCAAACTCCCCGTCTCCTGAGAGCCAGGTCTGGCAGGTGGCACACCGACCTCACACATAGGGCAAATGAACTTTCTCTCGGCATCCAACCCTTAGCACAGTTAACAGAGTTCATATTGCCACCCGCTTATAGCTTTCAAAGACAGGAAATTTACAGCATTCACAGGTGAAGCTATTTCCAGTAAATCTTGAACCTGGACTCATCTCAGACACCTAGAGTGGACTTAAGGCAGTTAAAATCAATGATAGCAGAAGCTGACCTAGCAATTGCCAAGGCCAACTTGTAGCATACAAAAGAATACTGTCTTTTGAAAACAAACACTTTCACACCCTTAATGAATCAGGAAGGTTTTGTGTTGTGATATGCTGAGATAAGACAGGTGGAGCCCTGGAAGGTTCTCTCTACATCAACCAAGCATGCAAGGCCCTTCATCCTGGCTCCTGCGCCTCAGAGGAGCTTCCCCCGGCAAAGGCATCTCAGGCCTCAGTGCGCAGGGGAAGGGCTGGCAGGGAGGTGTCCAGTGTGAGCCATGTTGGGGACATCAACCCAGGGGCCACTGTTGGCATCTGAGACCAGGTAAGAACTTTGCTTCCTAGAGTTACTTATTTCACTGAGACCAGGTGAGAACTTTGCTTCTTGGAGTTACTTATTTTACAAGTTCAAAGGTTCAGAGAGGGAGCCTAAAAGTCTGGATTGCCCAGGACAACACTGGAAACTCAGAGACAATTCCCAAAGCAAAATACTAGCCAGAGTTGAAAGTGCATGTCCCTTTGTGTGTATATTTAAGCCCGAGGAGACTAGAATCAGAAAAAAACACAAACCCTGAAGACATAAAACAGTTATAATTCTACTCATCTTCTCCCACAAGGAGAAGCATGAAGAAGCACTCATGAATTTTGTAATAGAATGGAGTGTGTCTTAGTTCAATAAGTCAGATGGACTCTCTATAATCTGCTAAAACAGCTAACATCTGGTGCACTGTGTGTATAGGCTGGCAAGTTTTCAGGCACGAAGGTGTTCTGTGGCAACAAGCACCCTTGGAACTCAAGCAGGAAGTGACTCCACCACCTCTGTAACAGAATGGCCTGATAAACAATGTGTATTAAAAACTTTTTAAGATCTTCCATCTACTGGTTCACTTCTATTTCAAATGGCCACAACAGCCAGAGCTGAGCTGGTCCAAAGCTGGTTGCCAGAACTTTCTTTCAGGTCTCCCTCACCAGCACAGGGCTGCAAGAACTTGGGCCACCTTCCACTGTTTGCCCAGGCACAAGCAAAGAGCTGAATCGTAAGTGGAGTTGCCAGGACACAAACCAGAGCTCATAGGCCTGCTGGCATCATAGTATGCAGGATTGACCTGTTGAAGCACTGCACCATGAACAAACATTTTTATAAAAACATTTTCCAAAGAAAAACAAAAATAGGGAAAATGCCCCCATTTTACATTTTGGATTTCTTTGATGTTTATCTTAGAAAACAGATGGCTTTACATATCTGCTTTTGCTCTCAATCTGTTTGTTGTTTTGATTGAAGTAGACTAAGAAAAATAACACAATGAAGTTATTGGGAGATGGGATGGTATTTTACCAGCCTTTTCAGATAATTCTTGATATTCATCCCTGATAACACTCCAAAACTCAACATGTAGGAGTTTTTGTTAAAGGTTAATTGCACTGTGTCATATGAAGGGAAGCAACTATACCTTGCTACATTAAAAACCCACTGCTCGGGGCCCGGCGCAATAGCAGCTAATGTCCTCACCTTGAATGCGCCAGGATCTCATATGGGCGCTGGTTCTAATCCCGGCAGCTCCACTTCCCATCCAACTCCCTGCTTGTGGCCTGGGAAAGCAGTCGAGGACGGCCCAGAGCCTTGGGACCCTGTACCTGTGTGGGTGACCGGGAAGAAGCTCCTGGCTCCTGGCTTTGGATCGGCACAGCACTAGCCCTTGTGGTAACTTGGGGAATGAATCATCAGATGGAAGAGTTCCTCTCTGTCTCTCCTTCTCTATGTATATCTGACTTTGCAGTAAAAAGTAAATAATTCTTAAAAAAAAAAAAAAAACCACTGCTCCTCCATCATTTTCCATCATTTGACAACGTCACACACTGCTTTTTTGGGAAAGCACTGATGAGTTATATACATCTTCCATATGTTAACATATGTCACTCTATGACAAAGTCACGCTGGTTAATATCAACACTGACCTCATCAATTTGCCTCCAAGTGCAGGGAAGTTACAGGGCTCATTTGATTGAGGTGACAGCCTCTCCCTGCTCACTTTCTAGAATGTGTCTGCCAGCTATGCCTGGGGACTAACCATCATTTTCAGTCACCCTTTCAAGCAAGGGAATGTTCCTGGAGACAAGTGGGTAAGTTAGCTCAGAATTTGATCAAATGCTTTACTTCACGACACACTTGGATGTGCAATAACAATACTGTATGGGACTTCATTCATCACACAAAACACTAAAAAGATGTGGATTCAGAAGTCAAGAGTTAACAAAAAATGTTGGTTATGACTTTGTTAAGCTGGCCATTTATTTTTGCTTAAAAGAGTATAGAGGTGAAAAATATAAGAACTCCTAGCATAGTCTAGTGCCCTTCCTTGGCCCCCTAAAAACACCGATTTTACTCAGCATTCCCTTTGTAGCATCATTGCAGTTGTTCCAGAATAGATCATGAAACTGACAAAGTCATTCAACACTTTCTCCATGCTGGCACTACTTGGTAATGCTGCCAAACATTCACTCAAAGTATATTCTGGTGCTGATATCAGAATGCCAGCTTAGCAGGAAATTCTTCCACATGAAGAGCCAAATACACTTCTACCGGCAAGGCACTCAGTCGTCATTCAGGTCCGCAGCTGCGTGTCTAAGCTGACACATCACCGCCTCCCTGTGAAGCAGTGCTCTGACCCCTCACAGCACTCCTCCACCTGCACAAGGCTTGCCTTCATGTTGTGCCAGCACTGCAACTTGATAACTTAACCTGCTTGGTGCTTCAGTAGCTTTTCCAATTCTAGTCTGAAAAGCAAATTATTTTTTGGCTTTTCAAAAGCTCCTCTTATCCAAAGTTAAAGCTAACTGCTTTACAGGGCTTGGAATGGCTGGTCTCAAAATGTTGCTCCTGGCACCACTGTACTATTCAACAGGGTTTTATAGTATAAGACGCTAACAGCAACTCAGTAACACCTGACAAACAATTCCATTTCTCGTGGAATTTTTTTTTTTAAAAAAAGATTTATTTTCTTGGAAAGGCAGATTATAGAGAAGAGAGACAGAAATATCTTCCATATCTTGATTCACTCCCCCCAAGTGGCAGCAACAGCCAGAGCTGAGTTGATCCGAAGCCAAGAGCCAGGAGCCAGGAACCTCCTCTGGGTCTCCCACGCGGGTGCAAGGTCCCAAGGCTTTGGGCTGTCCTTGACTGCTTTCTCAGGCCACAAGTAGGGAGCTGGATATGAAGTAGATAGAGCAGCTGGGACATGTACTGGCACCCATATGAGATCCTGGCACATGCAAGGCGAGGACTTTAGCCACTAGGCTATTGTGCCAGGCCCTCTTGTGGATTTTTGCCAACTTCTCTGGAGTATTTTCCTCCCTCCTGTTAGTCAGGGACAACTGATCCACTCTTCTCAGCATTTGATGGCACAGATGGTACAGATCTCAGATTGAAAAATCAAATCTTCTAACAGTCCCTTTTTAAGCTGATGATCTATTCCAGAATATATAAACTTATGTCCTTTTAAAAAATACTAAGTTCAAAACTCATTTTATAATATTTAAAAATTCAGAAAAGTTTTCAAATCAAGATCACAAAGCACACTTACTTTTTTCCCACAGTCAATGGGGGACTTAGATTTTCAAGTAATAACTTATTAAAAGAGAATGAGATTCAAGATAATAGAAGGTATACGTGCAAACAGAGCTACTGTGCATTTGCTGGGTAAGCACCCACTGA